ACATCTTATGCAGGAGTCTATCCCACATAAAGAGTCCAAGGACCTTTTACAGCTAGACTGCTTGGTAGCACTATGTCAGAGCTCCATCATAACTGGTGTTCAGAATAAGAATTTGGACCATGGTTTATCTGAAAATGGAGGTCTCAGATCATTTGCATGTTTATTTCAACATAAGAAAATCTGATTACAGAATCACTATCTAGCTCACAGAGGTTCAGTCCCTGCATTTGTGTGTTTGTTGGTAGCACTCTATGCTACAGAGTTAAGTTCATACTGGCTACTTGTTAAAAAAGTTAAAACAAAGACAAATGGACAGGTGGCAGGGGCAGGCGATATGGCAAAAACAGACAATAGATAGCTGTTCCGAGTTTCATAAGTTGGAATTGACAAAATGCACCAGACATATCGCATTTAAAATATGCTATTGAAAACTACAAATACAATGATTTTTAATAAATGTTTCACATCCTGTGCTGCACTAAATCCAATTAAACAGGGATAAATTAGCTATCTTTGTAATGAAACATACAGCTAGTCTGATGTTTTCCCAAGTACTGAAAATATCCACAATCTGCTCAGAAAAAGGATATTGTGATGTAATTTATCACGATACACTAAAGTACTGTCATACTGCCCACCCCCGTACCCTGTCATGTGCCTACCAGAAAATGGAGATCACTTTCAGTATCGCACGTAACGCAATTGATTACACATACCTCAAGGTATGTAGCGTATTTTTTGGTTCAGATTGCTTCATCCTAACGGGAGTTACAACAGAATATTCGGGGCCTCTTTCGAGGGGAATCTCCCCGTACAAGTCGTGACTGATGCATTGGAAAAATGTACATCAGATTAGGGCTGGGCAACATGACAACAGTTATCATTACCAGGATAAATCACGGCACAAAGTGTGCTAATATGTTTTTCTAAACATATTGTGGATATTGCCAGTACACTTCCCAAAAAACACTTCGCAACTGCACATTTCATTAAAAAGAGAGTGTAGTTCTGGCCAGGACACTCCTGTAAAAGAGATTTTTCCTGGTTAAATAAAGATAAAAAATTAACTCTGTTAAATTGGATTTAGCACAGCACAGTGCGTGAAATGTGGAATACCAATGATTGGATTCATAATTTTTTATAGTATTTTTATTTTTTTTTAAATGTGGCAGTACTTTGTTCTGACTAAACAGATGTCAGAAAAACACAAATACCATATTTTAAACATATACTAATATTGTGATATTAAATTTTTGGCATATCGCCAACGTTGACTTCAGATTAGTCCTATGTAATCATCTCAGTGTATAGAGGGTAACAGTGACAAAATTATTATATTGTGTTTATAATACAAAATGTCATCACAAAGTCCACATGCCATTATTATTATTATTATTATGATTATTATTATTACTATTATTGTTTTATTGTTGTTACTGCTGCTACTACTACTATAGCAGTACTAACAAGATTCTGAAAATCAACCATGAAACTGAGGTACATACTGAACCAATACTCAGTCTGGAGTAACAACAGAGCAACTGGATTAAAGCAAATGTTGGACAATCAGGAAAGCAACAATTGTGGCTGCTTTAATCTAAGATTTATACATTTTGCTCAAATATGAGAGGGTTCCTGTGGGCTCTGGAGCAAAACATGCAGCTAAAAATACACAGCGGCAGGTCGGATCAAATCTAGGATGCGCCACATGCTATCTGTCACCAGGACTTTGTGAAAAAACTGGGACAGAGAATATTCAGGTGGGCAATGGTTGCGAGTTGGAGACTTGAGCATTTCCTAGAAGTCTCTAGGGCAGCCTCCTCATTCTACAGAAGTGCTAATCATAAAATCCAGGGGAAAAGATAGCTCTCAGCAGAAGAGAACTTGTAGGCTGGCTTCTAGTCCTTTGAGGTTGCTGACGACACACACACACAGCTTACACAGCGGTCGAGTGCTGCAGTGGTGAGATTCCGAACATTCAGTATTCTTGCTCAAGCATGGCCAACACTTTATTTATTCAAACCGCAACTGCTCATTTCTGCCCAATTATACAGGCACAGAGGCCAACAAGTTGGGTCATATGAAAAGAACAGAGGCGTAGCTTTGGATGTTCTGAGGTTCTGAATAAATCTGACATGATTGTTCCAGTGACTTTTCGAAGTACTCGGGCCGTGATTCCTCTGACCCTTTTCCACTGTTATGGTCTGAGGCAATGGTTGAAACACAGAGTAGTGAAATGGAATGCCCCGAATCTGCCACACACACACAAGCACACACTCTCAAACACACACACAAACGCAGCCTCATCTAAGATGCACTCTCAGAATGTGCTCTGATGAACCAATGCTTAGTAGCGATACTACATGTGGATAGGTGGGTGGGCCAGCTGTAGGTTTCCCCACTAACAGCGTGGGCTGATGTGAAGGTTTGACGGGCGGGGGCTTTTTTTGAGCAATTCATTTATTTGAAATAATACCACCACAAGCCCTCCTAGAAGACGATTTCAAAAAAAGAATTAAAAAGAATTAACAAAAAAAAAAAAACCTCCTTCACCCCACCAACTTCTGAAGCTGAGCATGGGGATTTCTCAAAAGATGGGCTCACCGCCGTTTCGAAATCTCGCTGTGGAAAGCGTAGGGGAGACGGCACGCACACCGCTGCATGTCTCTACTTATCCACTTTAACTGTGCACAGCCAATGAACAGAGTGCTCTTTTGTGTCTGAGGCCAGATGCTAATTAACAGGCGATGTTGATGTTAGCATTGGTGGGCAAAGAGCATTCTTGGCCCAGTCTTGCTTTTTTCATGGGAATCCCCCGACTAAATAAACCCAGCACACTGTAGTAAGTCATTCTTGTGGCTTTGTCAACATCAAAGCTTCTCCGCGGAATACATATAATATATGGGAAAACGTATGGTGTCACAAGGCTGACCACTTATCAGCAGTCACAGCACTGCACCTCCATGTCTGTATCTACAGTAAGGGTGCATAGCATCATACTGGACACCCTTACTATCTTATCTTTGTCATGACAAATCACATGACAATACCCTTTTTGTGACATATCGTAGGCAGAGTTCAACATTAACTTCTTTCCCCAGACTTGGCTGATTGGGAAAGTGGACTAGGAATTCAGATTGTCACAAAAGACAAAAAAGACAATTCCCACTACTTCGGGAACACTGAATAACTGCATGTAACACTAAAAATTAAAAAATTTAGACTGATTATAGAGAGTAGAGACAGCACTGGTCAGATATTAGGTATGTATATCGGGCAGTACATCAGCAGAAAATTCTGGATTTTGGAGTGTGAAAAGAACAAATGTGATCCAAACCTGTAACAGATCCTGAAACAGCACCAACTCACATTGTGTGACGTGATGTTCTCTGTGTATTTTTTCCTGTGGGGTCATGTTTGAGCAATTTGAGCATGACAGCCTACTAGAACTACGTCAACTGAAAACAGCTCAAAGCTTAGTAGTTTTTAAAGAAAACAAAATAGTGGCTCTGTACTGTTACCAGCCAAAACCTAAAAGTTTCAAAGCCAGTAATAGAAAAAAGTGGACTCACGCCATCTCTAACAGAAAGCCTGTAAACAACAAAAACAACAACCAATATATAGTAACAACTAGTTCACTGGATGTCAGTACATTATGTCATGATGTTATTTTAGGGATGCACCGCTGAGGGAACTGTGGGCCGATACCAACATTTTACAGGTCATGTTTGCCAATGACGACGTGAATCCCACATATCTGGACTATGAATGGACGGATTTGAATGGAAGGTAATGGAACGGGATCTCTTTCTCAATGGTTTCAGACCATTTCAGTTGGTCTATTCATCATGACAATCTGACACAATGTAAAGGGCAAATGGCATTTTTACAAACATGCGAAAAATGAAAAAATGACAAAAATTGAGATAGAAGGTTTCATTATAACAGTGACTTATTTCTGGAAAGTCACATTTACAATAAAATGACATTTTACAACAGTCCACATTCTTCTCTTACAGAATACAATCACATATTACTTTTGAAATATTGGTCAAATCAACATCTGTCTAATAATTTTTAAAAGTAATTATCTACTGACATTGACACGAATCCAATATCATTGCACACCCCTAGTTATTTTAATCGTTTATTGTTTTATCATTTTGTTTTTCATTAATCAATTAACTTTATATTTTTACCAAATCCTGTTTTTCCTTTAGCATTTTTGTTTTTGCAAGTTAAAATAAAAAAGCCCACTGTACTTATAAGTTTTCATAGCAAATGCACCATTCCGACATGTTTACAAAGCTCTAACTACACTAAGTGTTAAGACAAACACCGTGAAATTGTTTACAAGTATCATGTTTTATTCTTGCTCAAATGTAATACACAATCATCAGAGAACACCATCTCTCTCTTTAGTGCCCCACCTTAAGACTACCTGAGCTAAAGCTCCATACCCTGAGCCACACATACTTACAGTCCACTATCAGTGCACATCTCCTCACCGTGGAAGTGAGGGAATCCAAACAAACGGCAGCGGGGGGAACAAAGTGGCACTTTCACCTGAACTCCACCAGGCCCCTCAGATGGGGAGGGAGAGGGTGTGTGCGCGTGTGCTGTGGCGGTCGTACCACTTTCATGTCTACGATGCGTTCCACCATGCAGGCTGTTTCACCTGCGGGTACTGTGTTCCTCGCTGCCATTGTCTGCTTATCTAACTTCCGCTGAGGAGAAATCCAGACAGCTCCTGTTTTGGCTGTGAACTTCATTCTCCCTTTGCTCCCCCTTTTCCCTCTTACCCGGTTCATCCTCTTAGTCACGCATATCTTTAATCTCCAGATTAAATCAGGGTGGTCTATTTGTGCGCCATAAAAAAAACGATGATTCCTATTCCTAAAACTTCCTGCTAAACAAAACTCCCTTAGCAAAATAAGCTTCACCTACCATCAAACGTTTGTGTCTGTGGGTGCGTGTGTGTCTAATGTGTTATGACCTACCGTCCTGGCATATGGCAGCAGGGAACATCTCTTTCAGCAGGTCTCCCAGCGTGAGCACATGGCCCTCAGGAGAGACGGGCCGGAACAGCTTCTGGATAAATGGTCTGTCGCTCAGCGTCTACAGTAGAGATGCAGACAGGAAGCTTTAAACTAATTTTGTAACAAACAAACACACACACAAACACACATATATATGTAAATAATGGTGATATACTGAAGTAACTGTACACTGCTCATTGCTGATATATGACCCATTTATTTTACCAATAGTTTATTAACTTTATTAATGCTCATATTAAAAATACCTGGTATCGTTACACAATTGGAAAATTTCATCAGCCAAACTACTTCACATTTCTCCTGTTTAGATCCAAACACCAGTTGCTAGAAGACACTCGTTTGCTTTCCAACACAGAAAATGTCACGGGAGCACAATGACCCGGCGCTGCCTGTACATGATGGAATCCTGAGCCGTAATTTGGAAAGTCATGGGGCAAAAGATCAACTATTAGTGGATGCATATCATGCAGATGTGCCAGATCCGCCCCCACAAGCTGGCTGAGCGGGAAGACGGGGATCCCCACAATTATCCAGCTCCACGCTACAATGACTAAACACTGCCTAACGCAGTTCACATCAGGGCTTGATTCACCACTGGCTGGAAAACAAACTTAGAAGAAAAAAAAAAAAGGGAAAAGGGGAAAACAGAACTTGTACAGTGAAACAAACGCTGATGCAAGTGCAGTTTCTAAATTATATTTCAAAGGCAAATTTCATGAAGAGGCCGTCAAAACAACACGCTCCAGAAAACAGTTACATAATTTGTCACTAGAACATTTACATAGATGAAAGGGGGACAGGCACATTTTCAAGTTGACAAGTTTTTCAGTGACCGTGACAATTTACAACACTGCAACACTGTCCAAAAGTACTGCATTACTGACGGCTGTAGACTACAGACAACATATTTGCCAGCGAGTGCTATTCAATGCGAAAAGGAGAAGACAGGCCACAAACAGCCCCAGCGTGCGATCAGCACAAGGTGTCAAGTGTTGGACAAAGTCCAGTTTTTCACCCGGTTTCGCATGCGGTCAGTGACCGACCATGTCTGATTCTCCCGGATCAGGCTCCTGGGTAACAAACAAGCAGCCTGGCAACAATAGAGGCCATTGGCGAAGCTGTGAAAAGGAAACCGGTGACATGGGCTGCTCAGGTGTTGAAGCTGTAACTAACACCGCCAGGCTCCAGGAAGCGAAGGTGGCTCAGTATGCTTTGCTGCCCGATCGGTTTACCAGAAAAGCTGACTCACTGCGCAGGAAGCAGCCACTCGCGTGCGATTAGCCCCGGAGCCGGAGCGGAGAGAGTGCGATAAGTGACAGCTACTTCGATGCATTTTTAAATGCCGCCATCAATTATTGAGGCCGGCACCACTGAAAAGGCCCATTAATACTGATGAGGAGTGCGATACTCTGGACTCCGACACTTTCTTTTCAGTTTGCCTGACACCTAAGCTGGCAGGTGACCACATGGCAACGAGGCATTGTTAGCCTTTCTCCGAACCCCACGGGCAGTGAAAAGACTTGGGGTGTGTCTCAAATTGACCCCTTGCTTTGTATGGAGAAAAGTAAGTGATTCAGCCATAGTCTCTGACAGTCTTAGATTCAGTCTTAGCATTGTCCCAATTAGGGCTGGGCAATATGACAATCTGTTATCAATATCCTAAAAACTTATATCATGATGCACTTTTCTGAGCATATTTTGGATATGGTGAATTTCAGAATACCAAAAACTGAGTGCATCAAAAAGAAAAAACAAACAAACAAACAAACAAAAAACTTAGACTAATTTAGACTAAATTTAGACTAAATATAGGAAGCCCGTGAAAAAGAAGAACAACAAAAGAAACTGAATAAACTATTTAGCAACAAACAACTAATTTGTCAGTCTTTTGTCAATATATTACTTTATTTATTCATTTTCCTGAATACTTAGCTTTTTTTCCTATTTCTTCTCAAATTGTTTATTTTTTCAAACCTTCTCATAGCTTTTTTAATTTTATTGGTGAATTTTGTCTGTTTTTTTGATGTTTTGATGACATATTTTAACATAATCCCTACCCTCCACTCCAGTGTAGAAAAACACTTCAAAGTTAATTTCCCACAATATACCTCAAAATGTAAGGGATGAACATATGCCCCAACTAAGTGTAGGGATGCCTAAACTTTTTGTCTTGGTGAGAGGTACAGTGTAACATTTGTAGTGGGCAGAGCTACAAAAAAAAAAAACCAAAAACAGCAGACTAGTCAGCTTTACATTTTTTGTGCATTGGCAATACACATGGCAAAACTGTATTCTGTAACGTGTGGATTTTGTAACATGGGTTGTGCTTCCCTAAGCGGGTGTGGTGAAGGACATTTCTTCCGAGGATGTGAACGAATTATCTGTTATTGTCATCATATCTTCATGAGTATGATGCCGATTTCGCATTTGAGGCCTAAACATCGAGCTGGACCTGTATTTAAAAAGCCTGTGCGTGTGCGTTAATATGTAACAAAGCATGGCGTGGTCCAAAAAACTCCCAAAAAATCTGACCCATCACCAATATTTCAATATTACAGGCTTTACAGGGCGACTTGCAGCAGAACAAACAACATTTTACACGTTTTCTTTCCTGTCTGTCTTTCAATCTTTTCGCTGAGTACCAGAGCCTGTTACGCTCAAATAACTTGAAACTGTGCTGTTACATTTGCCTTGCAGTCAATGATAATTGTATGGCATGAATATTGGTTTATATGTTATTGTATAACATTACATTCTTTGTTTTATTACTAAAAGCACTTAAAAAATAATTTTAAATAAAAATGAAAAGTTAAAAAGATAAAGAAGCTGTGTAAAAATACATGTTCTCTCATTGGCTGAGGGAAAAAATGTATTTCTATACAAGGCAACTTTCTGGTGGGCCAAACCAAACCTGATTTAGAGTCTCCCAGATTTCACTGTGAAGCAGACAACAACCATTCCAGCATTCATCTATGAAAGTAAGTCCAAGTTTGCCGAACTTTGACATTTTGAAGTCAACCCTAAATTGCTTTTTATTATTCAATATATTTCCTGCCTTTTGTTAGCCCTTAACTTTTTTGCGGCTCGTTTGCTAATGCAGGCAGCCGGCCAGTTAGCAGCTGACTGCTACTGAGGTTGAGCACAAAGGTTGTTTACATTTGACGTCACAAGTTTTCCAGAAGGATTAAGTATCCCAATGTTCCAGTAAATCTAGTCCCTTTGTGACACAACCAGATCACTCACTTTCTTTCCATAGATTGTTATTGCCTATATACAGATTTAGAGGTTGGGTTGAGACATATTCGTGCTCTTTCTGCTCGGAACAGGCAGGGCAGCAAACCTTGAGCCGTAATGGGAAGCTGCCTCAAGTCTCTGAAAGTCATATGATAACTAGGATAGGAAGAATACACATTCCCATGAATTACATCAGGTAGTAAAACTAATTTACTAGGAAGACACATCAGTGAATAGATTGAAATGTTTGCCACACAGCTTCATCGACTGTAGGGTTTGCAAAAATCAGAAATGAACAATAAACAAATTAATGAATAAGTATTACTAATTTTATTAGTCATGTTTTTTTTAGGAACACCTATCCACGTATGGGCCTAAATAGATTAGTCAGCTTACTAAATCATCTCAGTCATCGCTGAGATAATGCCAGTCATGCCCCACTGGTTATGGTAAGCTCCCTACAATGACCTGTACAGTGTAATTTTCCCTTTCTGCAATTACGCCGCCAGCATTTGGGGATAGTGCTGTGATTCTGCCAAATACAAACGTGTTTAGCTCACACTCTCTAGATACATATGCCAAGGTTTGAACAGCCTTGATCAAATTACATGCTCTGCTGATGTTGTAAGTGAAAATGAGTGAAAACGTCCTCTACCGGAAACAACTGTAACTGTGGCATTTTTCTGCACATTTTAGTACATAATTTCTATTTATTTACAGAGTTTCACATAATGGGGAAAAAATTATACAATGTTAAATTGTGCCATAACTTTTGTCGTCCCCCCCATGTTAAATTCAGCAAATAAGTAAATTATAATAACAGTATTAACAGAAATCGCAGTAAAAAGTGCAAAAGTGAGTTCTCTGTGGAGGATGTGATACTTTATTGTCTCATGCAACTATATATGTCCAACATTACTGTATTACAAGTGGTAAATAAACATACATTACATTACAAAAGTTTGGAATCACTGTTTTCAATAATATAAAACCGATTATGTTGCACATATGTGTATAAAACGATTCTAATACGATGCCAATATTCTACAGATTTCAACCAATTTATTGTAAACGATAAAAGTATGAAATTCTCAATAATGACCAGTCTATTCCATAATTAACTGAGAAAGCTTGATAGAATTGAGAATGAACAATAAAATTCATATCTAAAATGCTTCATATTTGAAAAGCAGTGACCAAATCTCCTGATCAAAAAGTTACACATTAATTTTGTGACCAGAAATGACTATAAATACATCATTATTTAATTTGTGCATAACATTTCTTTTTTTTTGTCATAATTTCTGACTGTCCTCAAAAGATTGTGATTTTCATTGTTGTGTCTAGTTTATAACATTTTAATCTACACTGCACAAGTTACGGTATTATGAGAAGTGATTCAAAACGTTTGAACTGTATTATTTATAGACCGTAAGAGTGTTATAATAAACAGATACTGCAGCTGGACTGCACCTCATTTTTAATCTTGTCCTAAGCAAACCTCAAATGTTACTGGCAAAGTCCCTAATCGATAAACAGGAAGTTTACTAAATGCGTTTTGTACTGAGTGCATCAGTGTTTCATGTCGTGTAAATGGCATAGTTTTCTCATAAACCCGAGCCTGAAATAAACTCCAGCACAGGTTTCACAATCAAACAATCACTGGTTAACAGAACTTACTCTGTAACCGTTATAAAACACTTTTAAGTGCTTCAGAACACAAGGACTGGTCTAATACACAACTTATCTGCTGGCTGGCAATGCACACATCTATAAAACACACAGGTTTAAAAGATTACTACTTTCAACAGTCTTTTATATAAAAACAGTAATTTAGCTACTTTAAGTATTGTGTTTAAATATTTTAGGCAAAATTTTACACAAAGAAATGCAGTTTCACAATTTAAAAAAGCACAACAGAAAAATCTGACAAGTTAAGTAAACATACTGAAATGCTATTAGCACACACACATGCTGTTTTCTCTCTCTACACTAGTTCAAAAACTTAGAATAAGTGTTTTGAATGATATTAAACCACTATGTTAGCAGACAAATGTATAAAGTGTCTAATGTACTAATCCCAAAAAAAAAGGAATTTTAGATGTGTCCAGAATGACGAACAGAGCTGTGAATCATTTTAAAATGGCTGCATGAAGTTAATGCCCCACTGGTATTTTGTATTTCAAAAGTGACAATGACCACCTCAAAGCAGATAACCTGATAAAAGAATTTCCCTTATAGATAATTACTGTACATTATCATGCCTTGAAACATTTTGTCGCCAAATGACCTGAAATATTGAATACAACATAGTTTACTTATTTAGTTTTAAGCTGTAACAAATTATTAATATGAAAAGTGACTGACCTGAAAATACTTTAAAAAAAAATATCCTCTACAATAATTCAACTAAAATATGATATTTTTCTGCATTTTTTGAGCACAATTTCTGTTTCTTTGCTGAGTTTAATATATTAGAAAAAATTGAACACAGCATGTTAAAATGTGCCATAACTTTTCCACCAGCCACATTTTCTGCAGAGGATATGTTCATTTATTTTCCACTTAGAAAATTAACAAAACATATTCTTTGACCAGGGGTGCACAAACTTTTGCATAGAGCTGTATAATGTGCTTTACCAACCAAGTTTTAATTTTAAGTAATAGTACGTTTTAGTACTTCTGACCTGCAACAGCAAGTAAGAACCATCACTGAAAAGGACTAATTTGAAAATTATATTAAAAAAAAAAAAATTATACTAATAATAACTAAAGATTAGGTAAAATTACTTTGGTGAAATCAATTTGCCATTAGCACCTAAATTAAAATAATTAGTGCACTCTAGTAAAACAAACACTTTGGTGTAAACAAATATACTAAAGGAATACAGCAAGACTAAAACAAGATGTTTTAAAACCAGCTTTTCAGACAGACTGAAGTCCATCACTGTACCAAACTACTCCAATAATGACTGTAAAAGTAATCCGCGTTGGAAAGATTAATTCCGAGTGCATAAATTGCACATTTTCTCCTTTCCTTCCACAAATGTCGTCCATTCATGACAACAGAACAAAATCATGACTTCAACCCCCTCTACTGGTAAATCATACAGCGCAGTGGATAAAGTCACTGTAAATCATTTTTACTGACTTGACATTCATAGCGCACATGTATCAAGCTTTTACGCTATTCAGTGTTGATTGAATAATGACGATACCTGATATATCCTGAAAGGAATATAGCGAAAACCACCCTCTTCGGTCGGATACTCCATCAGTTTACGGTTCATGGCCCAGAACTGGTCAAATTTATCTGCAGAAAAAGAGAAATTGGACCTAGTAAGTAGAATCAGCTATATTTACATATTTGTGAACGCACACCCATCACAACTATAACATAATCATCTGATTAAAATTCTGTTAGCTGACTGCAGTTACATCCATAGATGTCCACCTTTTACAATCATATATTGTTGTGACAAACATATGTAAACAGAAAAACAAAAGAAAGCACAGAATGCATTTATTGTGACAAGTCAAAGGTCTAGTGACCCTAAACTTCTGGCTGGTGCGATAACACCTTTAGAGGGCAGTTGCGAGTAAGGGTAGGTACAGTCCTAAATTAGGGGTGAGTGATATGACATTTGCACACTGATCAGTCATTACATTAAAACCATGTCCTTGTTTCTACATGTATTGTCCATTTTACCACCACAGTGTCACTGCTGGACTGAGAATAGTCCACCAACCAAAATAATCCAGCCAGCAGTGTCCTGTGGGAAGCAACTAGAGGATGACTAACATAACCAGTGCAGCAGCAGATGAGCTACTGTCTCTGACTTCACATCTACATGGTGGACCAACAAGGTAGGAGTGTCTAATAGAATGGACAGTAGTGGACACAGTGTTTAAAAACTCCAGCACCACTTGCACCAGCACAACACACACTAACACACCACCAACACGTCAGTGTCACTGCAGTGCTGAGAATGACCCACCACCAAAATAATACCTGCTCTTTGAGGGTCCTGTGGGTTTGTGATCATTGAAGAACAGTGTAACAAAGTATGCGGCGTAACAGATGGACTACAGTCTGTAATTGTAGAACTACAAAGTGCACATATATGGTCAGTGGAGCTGATAAAATGGACAATGAGTGTAAAAACAAGGAGGTGGTTTAATGTTATGGCTGATTAGCATATAATATCATGATACTTTAAGAAACACGATACATGAGCTGCAGAACTGAGATCAGCCAATCGAACCATTTTAGGCTTGTACTTCTTCTAGTTGCATACAATGAAAAAACAAAAAAAAAAAAGAGACAAATTGTTAGCCGTGATGAAATTTTAGCTGATGATTAATTGCCATTTATATATAGCAATTTTCCAAAAAAGTTAACACAAAACAACTCGGTCTAAACATAAACTGATGTGAGGTATTTCTTTCACACTATAGTAAACTACAGTAATGGAAAACTCCACAGTGGAAAGCATTTGACCCAAATGTCAAAAAATTTTCGTTCTTATTTCTTGTAATACTCACCCTATTGACACTATTCACACTCACACAAAACTCTGTGGTGTTAATTACTGGGACACCAAATTCCATTACACCTCGATGTGTATCTTTCAAAAACACGTGTCTTGTTTATCATTCGTGCACTTGTTAAACTGCTAAGGTTGGTTAGTGTAGGAAGTGGATCAGAGGCAGCTAAAACATGCTGCTCTGAGATTTCTGCGGCAAGATCACGGTTGCAGAATTCTCAGCTTCACAAGGGTGTTATAATTTAGGGCTAAAAACTGTTACTTTCTCTTCTTCCTTTGGCTCCCCCACCCCAATCGACACAATCTACGCCCTTGGAGAAGCGCAATGTCACCACAGCTTGTTTTTTTTCTAGCTGTCTGTTATGAAGACAGTTAGATTCTGAAACCGTGTATTCAAACCTCGCAGTCGCCTTTTCTCCACAGCTTTTCATTTTCACCTTTATTTAGAAACACAGGCTTTTCTGTTTTCTCGCTAGAGTCTTGCTTCAGCTGCCTCACTCTCACATTTGAGTTTCAGCTGTGCACGCCTTCTGGTTTCCTTGTTTCACTCTTAAAAGCATTCTCTGCACTAAGGAGCACTGCTTTGTGCTGACTGTGTGACAATAACCTCTGCACATTTATCAGCTGGCACACAGTCAATATTGCTAACGCTGGGCAGACAGTTGTTGATGCTCATCCCAAAACCCGAGATGCGTTTGTGCTTGGCAGCATTGATTAAATTCAAGATCACAGTTTTCTAAATGTGTCATGGTATTTGACAATTTTTAAAGGGAAACTCCACCAATCCCTCAAGATTTCTGCATAACTAAATTATTAAGATGCAAAAAATCATTCAAAGTGGTTTAATGAGAAATGCTCTATTCTGGAGAATTATTTACAGTGGTGGTGATAGAAACCAAAGGTCTGTAGAGTTTAATGCTTCTAAAAGCTGCAACACAGTTAAAGTTACAATACAAAAAGGTTATAAATACCACATCTGATGCCCAAGACGTTGTTTAAGATAGTTTTGGCCTAAAATGTATTGTTTTTAAATCCACTCATAGTGGAGAGGTACATGCAGGGTGTTGTGAGACAAAATAGTTTCCAAAGAAAACTTTTTTTCAGATTTATCACTATTTTGTCATTATCAAGGTTACATATGTAAACTAAGAAGATGTGTAGTTTCACTGGTAGCTCTGGATAGAAAACAAAATATATTTGCCTTGTCGACATTGTGACCCCAGTTCCTATCAACTGTTAAGAAATTCGTAAAGTTAAGGAAGTTGGTAAGTTTCTCTAGGAGGGAGCATTTCATGTCAAACCACTCTGAATGACGTTGTTTAGGCTACATCTCAATGAATGAATTAGGGAGAAATTTTTAAAAACTGGTGGACTTTCCATTTAAGCTTACATTAATGAAGTGAAGTATTGATATTCTAAGCTAAAAGAGCTTGTTTTGATCTTATTATGGCTTGTTTTGATTGGACTGTTTTGTTCCGTTTTCTTATTTCAAAGGTAGTTTAACACAAAATACAGCGTGTTTTAAAAAGATTCATCTGATTTCAAAGCGCCAGATTTTTACAACTGTGAGGTGCCTAGGAACCAATCACAAACCAATTTAAATAGGGGGTCACTGAGTTTCTGACTGTCATCGGAAGATGGCTCCCTTCAGTCTGTGAGGAGATGGAGACCCCTGAACAGAAAGCGTTTTGCGTTCTCCACTTCAATAAGAGTGAATCCGTCATAACTGTGCAGTGTGATTTTCGTGGGCAGTGAACCTCCAACAGCCCAGAGCATTCGTCGTTGGTTCCACAACACTGGATGAGCCGTGAGTACAGTGACACCCGACATGCTCAATCGAGTATGGGATGAATTTGACTATGGCGTTGATGTTGACTGTACAGCTGGAGGAGGTTCATACTGAGCACTTGTAAAATTACATAATAAACTTTATGCTCATTTAAACCATTTACAATTTACTGCATTGTTCTGTAATGATTTACAAGTGAAATAAATCATTTTGAAATCAGATGAATCTTTTTGCATCACCCTGTATTTCTATTAGCACAGCAGCAGGGACTACTATTACAGAACAGTATGTTATATTTGACACAACGCTCTAAGACTGAATATTGTGGTGCCTGAGTGACCCCCAGCCTGTTACTAAAGTCAGATGACTTACCATTCTGAAGGCCCATCCACAACTGCTTGTGATCTTTCTTCTGCATATCGTTGATGACCTGGCCTTTGTGCTTAAGTGCATCTGCTTCTTTAATGCTGGACATGAAATGGGCCTCTATCACTGAGCTGGAAGGGCAGTGGAGTAAATCTCTTTCTGGAAAGTCCTGCATAAGAAAGATTATTTTACTACACTGGTCAAAGATGAAGTATGTAATGGTAAGTCAGCAAATTAGAACAATTAATCCACATACCTTAAAGTGCACAGTGACACTCCAGGGGAGAGCAGTATTCGAGGCATGGAGGTCAAACAACACTCCAATTGGGTAGTGCCTTAAAAATTGAACAAGACAACAATACATGACACTCCAGTCAAAACATGCTTTTTCAGGCACTGCTGTTTCATAAGCCTTAGTCTGCACTGCCACCTAGTGGTAGATCTGAGGAACTGTGTAAGTCTCTTCTGGCTTGCTGAGAACGGCATGGCATGCCACAGTGTTGGAACACCGAGTATCACGCACTGTAGGAAAAGAAGACATTTGTGCAGCCCACTCATTACACTGCTCAGTATTTTAGGGCTGCAACTATCAGATGTTTCCAATTTTAGATATTCTATTGAATATTATCTTAAAGATTCTATAAGGAATATAAGGAAAGTTCAAGGTATGTGGGCTCACTGTAATGATTAAATGAAAACTAATTGCCTAAAGTAATGTCCTGAAGTTATATTGAACGCAGCACGAATAAACAACAGGGAAATGCAGAATATTCTAATGCATTTTTTGGCATGAAAACTATACACATCTGCTGTGCACACATGCAATCTCTCTTCGAACCGCAACAAACAAACAAATGGACAGAAGGTCTTCTAGTGAAAAGGAGCACGGAGAGTTTCTTCACTTCATTCAGGAGCTATGAGAGCTTTAATAAACAGCTCTGCTGTCTGTAACTCAGTTTGAGCTGCTTTTGGAAGGAGGCAAACAAATCCTTCTGATGTTTGTCAAAAAAGGTACAGAACCGAACCATCGGCTTGATTGTTGGGATGCCAACAGCGCTGGCGACACTGACTGGTCAGGGAGTTTGTTACACCTTCGGTGTGCAAGACACCATAAATTACATCCATGCTTGAGTAAATTTACTGTCATCAGAATAAATCGCACAAATAAACTGTGTTCAGTTTGTAAAGGCCTTTAATTTTATCAATGAACCTTTTAAATATTACAAGCTAATGGAAACACATAACTGATGAGTAATTACTGTCATAGCAAGTAGCATAAAATGCTAATCCAGGGGGATTCTGCCCACCCTGACCAGGCTGCTGAGACTGTTTGAATGTGTCCGTAATGAACAGTGCAGATGAGCAGCATCTTTTTAACTACTTTGTCTTAAAAACTGAAAACAGCTTTTCGGTCACCTTTTACCACTAAGGAAGGACGTAAACATGGATTAGATTCTACATGACCAAGTTTAAGCCAATCAAACTGCTTTACACCAGAGAATGTGCTGCCCTCTGCTGTATTAGTCTTACTACCTTTTTATCTTTGCCTTCTTTTCTTACTGCTCCAGATAGAGAGCTCACTAATCTGCATGCTGTCATTTTTTTTATCAGGAATTAATGCAGTGGAGAGAGGCTAGCTAGTAATCCGGAGCAGCAGGAAAGCATGATCAGAGAATGTGCAGTGAGGAGAACAGCCACTCAGTAATGTCTTCCAGGTTTGTCAAAAGAAACGGGTTAAAATGGCGCATTTGAACAAAATCATAGTTTTCTACATTTTCAAATAGAAGAATAAATTCAATTCCTGAACACAGAACAGCAAAAAACATAACACTACTGTTATATTTTTGAGCACCTGTGAACTCCAGTTATAAGACTTTATTAAGGTGCCTCATATACACTCATGATGTCAGTGAGCATTAATCACTTCACTCAGCCAATGAGCTGATCAGCTCACCAACCAATCAGCACTCAGCAGCAGTAATGCTAACAAATCAGCACTCAGCAGCAGTAATGCTAGCATCACACGACCTAAAACTTGTTTGCTGTAGAAAAAGGAAAGACACAGGTACATTTCCTTTTTGTGAAATACATCCTTTTACCTTCCAAAATTAAAATAAGATCCTGGAAAAGTGCTTAAAAACAAATGTAACCTTACTGCAGAGATATCACTGTGGCTTTGACAGAAAAAAACTATTTATATATCAATGTTTTTGCATGATGTACACGCAGATTATCTTGCTCTCACTACCTTTTAGCTTCATAAACCAAACTTTGTTTCCTTTCGGACTGATAAAAAACCAATTATTTAACTGCTTTTCCACTTTGGAATATTTTAATTATCAAAGATTCGTTCAGTAGAGAATTTTCAAAATCAACAGATGTGCCTGAGGAAACCTCTGGGGATCATCCAGAAAAAAGGATCTCTTTCGTCCATAGCGATTGACATGATGCTAGGTGACGAATTCTAGCTCTATTGTAAGAGCTCACGCAGCCAGAAAATACCTGATATGTAATCTCTTGGCAAAAGATTTTATAATGATTACTATATTACACATTATAATGACTGAATCACAGACTTCAAAACACAGCAATAAAAGTATAGACAGAAAATCTGTAATGTTTCTTTAAGTGATTCATGACTCTAATGTGTCACAGTTGGGTTAAAAAAATCAGTAACATCATACAATTCTGGACAGACACAGTAGAAATAATAATTTAAAAAAACTACCAAAAATGAGAGCCAGCAAGCCAGAACATGTGATTACTTACCATTTAAGAGGCGTCCCTTCATATTCAAACCACATCTGCTCGACGTCTTCTGCCTTCACGACTTTCAAAAAGTGCTTCTTCACCTTGTCGGTCACTAGCGTCAAATAACTGACCCTTGGAAGGAGGAGCTGAAGAAAGGGAAGGAAAAACAATATGTAATCAGGCATAGACAATGGCAGACAAATCTGAAGCAACAATAAGTACTATTATTGCCACAGACAGCTACAGAAATACGACACCTAAAAATGCAAACATGACTTATGATGAATGAAAGACAGCATTGACCAGTCAACTCATTTGCACAAAATTAATCACTTATATTTATTACTAAAGGGTTCATATACTGTATATTGTAGTTTTAATATTATTTTTTGCCCTGACGTCCACTTATGACATTTGTGTGGTTTTATTTACCAGAACATCCACAAGTCATCTTTAAATGACCATTTTCCAACTTGTCTTTATTCTTTACAATTAAACAGGCTGTGCCTTTAAGACTGGCATATGTAAATGAGCTCTGTTCTGATTGGCTGTCCCGTATTGTGACTCGAAAGGTAGTCCAGATGCCAATCCTTATACCTTCAACATGAATCGGCAGGGCTAAACTGTAGGCTAAATAAGCGTGTATATGTAAATGTGCTAGATTTTGTGACATCACAAAAACAATTAATTCAAATTAAGCTCTTTTGGCAGCTTTGTTTCCATATGTGAACTGTGCAGAGAGGAGAACAGTATGCTTTGAAACATCATATCGCTGTTGTCATGAGAAAACTTTGTATCTCTAAAATGGTAACTTTACAGGAGAAGGAAAAAATCGACTTTATCTATAATGTACGTCAATGGAACTTTTTCCCCCCCAAGTCATTTTGGGTCAATTCTTTTGGTTCATTCTTCCTGAAATTTACAAACAATGAAAAGGCCAACAGGCATTTTCAAATTATGTCAAAAACTGAAAAACCACAAAAACGGAGATACGAGCAGCGATATACATACTACTTGAAACTATTTCAGAAAAAAGATGTTTCAGTGATATGGGTCCTTTGACAATATTAGCATGCTTGAGTGTGAAATTCCTTCAAATTTTTTTAGGGTTCTTACATAAAATGGTTCTGCCTCCCTCTCCGTGACCTCATCTGGGTACAGCGTGAAGCACGTTGGTATCCGCCCGAACCAAACATCTCGCAGTACATCCTTGTCATCTGCCATTATCTCGAGCCTCCAGGTGACACATATGACACTTCCAGTTTTCACACTGTCAAAGAGAAAAGGCTGCTTTGTGTTAACTACACGTCCAAGGCAGACGAAATTAAATAGGCTTCATGTTAAACAATACAAGATTTATTTAATTGTAAACAATTACAAAGTGATCTAGACTATGAAGCACTTTTCACAGGTTTTAATGACTAAGCTACTGGGGTGAGTAATATCATAAATTGTGTCACCTTATATCACAATATGCTGTTATGACCAATTTATGGATATTGTCAATACTAAAAGAACTAACCGACTGAATGTTTCATTTCAAGCAGAGCATCATTAGATCTGGTTTACTGGATTTAGTGCAGTGCAGTATGTAAAACGCTGAATAACGATACAGTAAAACTGATAATATCATTGTCATACGCTCCTACCAGTTATCACTGATGTTTCTAGATCTAAGTCATTTTCACTGTTATACGCTCTGTAACAGAAGTCCCGGGTTTTCACTGGTAACAGTGACTAATATTTTTAGATCTATTTCTGTTACTCTGATCACTGGTTTATCTAAATCTCTTTACATTCAATATTGTATATTGATTGTAAAGTCCTTGTAAAGTCATTGTTTTGCTATCCAGAGTCTTGGTGCCTGTCCGGGTTTCTTCCTCTGGAGCTTTTGCCACTGTTGCCGTTGGCTTGCTCACTGTAGCTTGGACATGGATTTTCTGTAAAGCCGCTTTGTGACAATGCAGCAAAAAGCGTTTCATAAACGCTGTCTTATTCTGACAGAGAATTGTTGCAAACAACTTGCACTCCCATTATGTACATAAGTTCATGTAATAAATAAATGAGCCAAATCTAACTGGATTCATTTTTACATTTAACATTTTTAAGGAATTACATGATGTTTTCTATATTTCTGCATGATTAAACTGTTAATTTGTAATCAAAGTCATTCAGAGTGGTTTGGCGTGTTTAATGTCAGAACTGTTTACAGCGGTGGTGATAGGAACCAGACGTCTCTAAACCCACGTCACAAAACGTTATTATACAAACTGGTTATAATACACTGCCTAATGCCTGAGACATACGTATTGTTTTTAGGTACATGCAGGGTGTTGTGAGGCAAAACAGTTTCCAAAGATTTACTGCTACATTGCCAACATCAGAAGATATGTGTAGGTTCTCTGGTGGTTTTGGGCAGTAAATAAAATGGCTATATTTGTGTTGTAGATATCACTCCTGGTTCTAATGACCACCACCGTAAATAAATCTGATTGCTAAGTTTCTTTACAATGACCCACTTCATATCAAATCAATGTGAATGACGCGAATATTAAATTCCTACGGATGGAATTCTTGACGAAAAAGTTTCACACTGCCTTTAACCGAGATAACAATTTAGGGACCAAACATTCTGACCAGTCTGGCAGAACACTTAGTACTCTGATTTGGCTTTAAACCTCTAGAAAACTACACTTAAAAAATGATTCTTCAAGGGTTCTTCAGTAAAGGCAAGTGGTTCTTTTTAGAACGATGAGTTCTATACATAACTATGTGCATGCCAAAATGGCTCTTTGCATGGCGAAATGGTTCTTCAGACTGACAGACGAAGTGTTGTATATGGTTCTACATAGGACCTTTTTGAAAATGATTCAATAGAACACTGAAAAGAGTTTTTCTATTGTTACAACATTACATAGCAATCAAAAAGCATCATATTCACTTCTTCTTGAAAATGGTTCTAGGTAGCACCAAGAAGGGTTCTGCTATTGTTACAAGCTTGGCATTGTAACTATAACAGAACCCTAAACAGAACAAAAGCGTTCTATAAAGAACCATATACACCATATTCTCCATCAATCTAAAGAACCATTTCACCATGCAGAAAAACATTTAAGCATGAAATGGATCTATACAGATCTCACAGCTCTAAATGGAACCACTGCCTGTACTAAACAATCCTTGAAGAACCATCTTTTTTGAGTGATAGACAGTGTCACTGTTCTGGCTGCTGTCAGGACTGACACTATGGAGCCCTTAAGGTGACATGGTGACTACTTTTTAATAAGAAATAGCCAGCAATAATATATTGATGCCACAAGTTACTGTATTGAAGTAGAAATTACTATATTGGGGCCACAAATTACTATATCGAGCCATTTAGTCATAATGTCCAAATGATGAGAAAGTTTTTCCATAATTATGACTTAGTACCTCATAAATTATGACGTAGCATTTCATAATTTGACTTGCTACCTCGTAATTATGAGATAGAATCTCATTATTATGACGTGGTATCACAGTAATTACTTGCTATCTCATAATAATGAGAATTTTGTCTCATAGGTACGAGAAAGTAAGTCATCCTTATGAGACGCTAAGTCATAAATTAAAGTCATAATTATGAGATGTCAAATCAAATCACGTTTATTGTCACACCACATTTACACAGGTGGAAAGTGGGTGAAAATCTTAGGTGCGTAGATGTTAAGGCATAATTATGAGACACTAAGTCATAATTATAAGAATTACTATATTTAGGCCATGAATTCATACATTGAGGTCGCGAGTTATTAGAAATGTAACTCATGGCCTCAATATAGTAATTCGTGGCCACATCTTATTGAAAAAGTAACCACCTCTCCTTGGGGGCTCCACGTAACAGTCTTGTTCTTGAAAAAGTTTCACACAGCCTTTAACTAAGATTACAATTTGGGGACCAAGCATTCTACAGTCTGTTAAAACACTCAGCGTTCAGTTTCAGCTATAAACTCTCTAGAATACTTTTATCTGTTTGAGACTTCATTACTTTTACATAGGTACATATTTTATTTTCTTACCTTCACCTTCAGCAGGACTGCTATCCCACCCTTTTATTTATCTGGGTTTTAATTCCTTTACACTCTGAACTCTCAATAAATTAGAGGTCAAAAATTACCAGAAGTTTCTTGTAAACAGGTAAGCTATAAATACCAAATAGGTTAGCTAGGTTAGCTAGGATAAAGTTAGCTCGGTTGGCTGCCCTGAAATACAGTTTAAATTAAGTTAAACTGAACGGTACTTTAAATTATAAAATATTACAAGCACACTTTGCTAACAGTGTTAGTTTAACGAAACAAAATTAATCATTTTAATGTAACATCTTTAATACCAAACTAGCTAACACTGGAGTAGCTGTTTAGCCTGCTAGCTACCTAGAGTTAGCTAAGGAGCTAAAGCTAGCGCGAAATGGTCACAGTATAATATTCTCTGTAGTCAGATATTCAGTTTCCTCCACAAACTCTGACTAAAGTCTCCACCTCGGCATTTCTCAGCTCTAAACAGCACCGAGACACGACAGGAAACTGCACAGCACCTAATGAAGTCAGCTAGCTAGGTTAGCTAAGGTTAGCTGTGAAGAAAACAGGGCAGAGACAGGTTGGAATTTTCCCGTTCCACCTTAAATGGTGCAGCAGTTACATGCTACACGATTTAAGGTGGAACGGGGGATTTCGAATAAGAAGCCAACTTCAGCCTGGTCAGGTTTGCGATGCTGGTTTGAGTTCATACCTCCAGTCGTTCAGTGCTGAGTCTCCACCTGTTCTCCTGAGAGCTCCTCTCTCACTCACAGGCTGAGAAACCACACAACATCAGCCAAGCTACCAAAGATTTATCAGAGAACTAAAAATGTCCGCGTTATTAAAGACGAGAGTCACATCTCAGAGTCACATGTCAGAGCAGAGAGCCGCGGTCAAGCAGATGTGAGACTGTAATTACATTAAACTACAACTGTTCCTGTCGCAGCTACGCTTTCTCTTCATTTTCATCTTCTTCATATGCCTCTTCCTATCGCTCTTCTTCCTCACCACAGTTTAGTTTCAGTCTGGTTTCCCAGGCCGCCCCCTAGGCGCTATAGGGTGTAGTTGCTGGACACCAGGGGCCTCGTCCCAGTTCGCATCCTTGTGGTCGTTATTTGTTTGTACTGCAGCTTTCATTACTGTAAACGGAACAAGCGACGGGAAAATACCGATAACGAAAAGATGCCAAACGAACTAGAGGTTAAAGGTTTTTAAAGGGGACTCTATGAAAGCCCGTTTCCACCACTGGAGAAAAACGCAGTGTGTCCCAAAAAAATGACGTCATTTGAGATGTGAATATCTGAGTAACTACACGACCAAGGCAAACGAAATTAAACAGGCTTCATGTTGAACGATACAAGATTTATTCTTTAAAATTCGAACAAGAAATTCAGAGGGATGTAGATTTTATAACCGATTTCACAGCTTCACAAATGTAATATCTTCGGATAATGGTGGTCGTCCGGATCCCTTTGCCCACAGACAGACAGCCTTCCTCAGCCTGCTTTCCAGCTGGTGCGTTTTTATTGAATTTACTCGAAAATGCGCGCTGCACACTCTTGTTTGACTGTGTTGGAGCATATTCTAACACACAGAATGCCTTTTCATTTCTCGTGAACGCCATTCCTCAACCTGAAAAAAACATTAAAAATTAAACTTGGTTAGTTTTTACACATTTTGTTAAAGTTTGTTAAATTATGTCAATTTTTTTGGGACACCTGTATATAGCCATTTAGTAAGTCATAAGTTTTCCATAATTAAGTTTTAATAATTATGACTTAGTATCTCATAAATTATGACGTAACGTCTCATAATCATGAGAAAATGTTCTTATAATTGTGATATGCTAACTCATAATAGATTGCAAGTCAAAATTATGAGATACTAAGTCATAATTATGAGATGTTAGGACATAATTATGAGATGCTAAGTCATTATTATGAGATGCTAAGTCATTATTATGAGATGTTAGGACATAGTTAGGAGATTCTAAGTCATAATTATGAGATGCTAAGTCATAATTATGAGATGCTAAGTCATTATTATGAGATGCTATGAGATGCTTAGTCATAATTATGAGATGCTAAGTCATTATTATGAGAATTACTATATCGAGGTCATGAATAATACGTTGAGATACTTAGTCACAAATATAACTTTCTCATTATTATGACTGACTAAATGGCTAAATTTTTTTTCCAGGGGTGGAAACGGGCCTCCATATGAACCCCACTGATTTTTCCCAGTTTACTAAATCTTAAGTTGTAAATAAAGTACTGTTTGATCTGAAATGCTCTATCCTGGAGAAACTTACCTACCAAGCCAGAATCATTCACAGTGGTGGTGATAGGAACCAGACATCTGCATCTAAAATCTCCCTCACAAAAAAGGCATTACTTAAAATGGTTACAAATATACTGGTTGATTCCTGAGACAACTGAATGCGTTTACATGCACATAATAATCCGACAACTGCAGAAAATCAGATTTTGTCAGTAATCCGATCAATGCGTTTACATGCACTTGAGTAATCAGATAATGGCAAAAGTCCAGGTCTACATGAGTCAGGCAGTAATCAGATTTGTGCTTTGCAAGCAGCCAATAAACTCACAGAAGAAGATGTGATGTAAGCGTAATGTAAAACTCAAACTTCATACATTTCATGTTTTTTTTAAAAAATCACGCCACTTTACCTGAAAATATGAATATACATTGTCCAGAAGGTAAACAATATTTAAATCCCTCATTTCATCAAGCATGTAGTTGGTTCCATCGTCACTCCAAAAGTGTTTTGCTGCCATCTCGCATGATTGGATTATTAAGCGCATGTAAACGCACTTATTATATGCAATTATTTTATGATTGGAGAGACGTCTTTGACCTTAAACATATTTTTGTAAATCAGTAATGGAGGAGAGATGCATGCAGGGTGTGAAAAGTCCCCATTTTGGATAGTAAATAAAATACATTTTCATTGTAGACAACCTGACTCCCAATTCCTAAACTGAAAACAGGGCCTTGTCAAGTGAAATTATCTTAAATCTAGTTGATTTACGTAATGTTTTCAATGTTGAGGTGGTTGTAAGCTTATTATAAGATTTTTGTAATAAGACTTCTTTTTACAAGTGGGGCTGATTGAAGAAACTGGCCAGAGTGCCCCTGGCTGTGACCTCTGCTCATTGCATAGGCCATGCAAGCTTACCTATGCAAAATATGTTTTTTTTTAACCTATTCAAGGCTCTTGGTGGGGTCTTATGGATGAAGTTCAGATCTAGTTTAGGCATGGTTTGAAAATTATCACAATTATGAATTGTGAAGGTAACTGTGTTTCAAATGTGCACTAATCCGATTCCCACACATGTATTTTCACTAAGTGGCCACCAGGTGTCCTTTCAAATTTACGCTAAATGCCATGATAGAAAAGTAAAGAAAAAAATGTCAAGCGAATTTTGTCACTGTGTGCAAAACTGCCATGTTTCTGCTATAGTGCGCTGTTCTGGGGTTCTTCCGTTTTGTAGCGGTGCCCGAAAGCATAGTGTAGAATGTCCAGTGCACACAAACAAATGTGTGGGCCATTCGAGGTCTATATATATATACCTACCTTTACATATTTGTGTATTCTGTTGTCTTTCTGGTCCTCGGCCCACACTGCACTTTGGTCTTATTACATTCATTAGAAATAGTCATATTAAAAGTTATGCACTTTTTTAAAGTAGATTAAAATGGTTTCATTTGTGGGATTACACCTGGAGTCCATTAAGCATTCGTTAATATAGTCTTTATTAAGAATTTCATGTAGGTTACTGAGTCTTGTAACGAATGCAATAACTTTTCTGATATTATTAAACCCTTAAATGGCCAGGGCCCACTGGGAGGCCCAAAGCTCTATTACACACTTCTACAACCTAAGAATAAGTCAACAAGTTTGTGTTGCAGTCCCTGTAGTTGCTGAGGACCAAGCCTTAGTGAGTAATAAGCCTGGGATTTTAAGGGGTTAAACACTGACCGCTTTTGAATGGATTTCTCTTATTGAATGTTTTAGAGTAGTTTGTTCAATATAACCTCAAACTAGCTTTTCTCACTTTTTCCTTCATGTGCTTTGCAGCACCATCTGGGCAGTGGTGGTCCATTTTGTTCAGACTTTAGCTATCAAATAAACTTCCCTTTTCATGGGAGCCATCAAAGTCCTTATAGGAAAGTATGTTCACTCTGCGACCATCTTGGCAACACCGACAGGCAGTTATTTCAGCCGTACCGGACCAGACTTCTATCTCAATGAATGGGGGGGTCAAATTATTGTTTCAAAAACATATATAGAATCACTGGAAAAATATGACAAAAACTTAAATAAATAGTATTTAAATAGTTGAACAGGTTGTTATGGCAACTGCGCTTGAGCAGATCTTCACAACAGAGACCAAATAGAAGACGAGCTCTCCTGCTCAAGGTCTAACCAGCAAGCTGACTGGCTCTTTTCTTGAAGGTTGGGACTTTCTCCATACACAGACTCCATGTTGAGCATTATGAGTTTTCCCATTCATATTTCAACCAGTGATCTGTCTCTTCGTTTATAGGCCCGATCCCGTTTTTTATTTTTACCCCTATCCCTTGTTCTCAGTGTCACCTTGCCACATGGAACTGAGTTACAGGGGTAGGGGTTAAACTCTTCCCTATGAAATGGGACCCTCAAATAAAAAGAGCATTACTTCATTAACAGCTACCAGCACTGCTCTGTAGGCGACCCTGTCAGTCTGCAGTGATAGCAGAGGAGAATAAAGTTCAGCAACCTCACTGCTGGGCTTTAGTTACATTTAGGGAATCATATTCCTTCGAAGAGGGGGATACGGCAGTTATTTATTATCGCCCACCCCTAATTCTTCAGTGTAATGCAGCAGTTCTGATGCCTGAGGCGCAAGAATGTAACTGCTGCTGTATTTAAGGTGGACCAGGAAATTTAGCTGGATAGTTACAGTGACATCAGCATACTATTAGTGATTTTTTATGCTTGTTATAAAGAAAAGGACCATAATACATTGAAACAACATTAAACCAAAATAATACAGTTGTTATCATAATTTCTTAACAGAGAAAATTCTCACATTTGTGGGTTTCTTTGGTCACTCGCTCAGCCATCTTGCCAGTTTTTCTTTTTTTCTCATAACACTGCGTTTGGAGTGTTGCCTCTGAAAAACCTCCGTTTGGAGGGGCATGCAGCCCTAACACTTCACCCTACCCCTCTATCTCAACAAGAACACCCTACCCCTAGGTGAGAATGTGTAAAACAGAGGGCTAAGGGCTAAGTTGTAGGGGCAAGGGATGAAATGGGATTGGGCCATAATGTCTCCGGTCTGGCTTCACCTCTGTCTGGGAGCAATGGATAGACTACCCTTGACCACTAGATGGCACCCCAAGCTTATGAAACTGGACCTGCAAAAGTGACACGTTACTGTTATCAGAGACAAATGAGGGATCAGATAAGCAGGTGTTAGAATGGAAACACATCATGACCTGAAAATGAACTCATTCAGGAGATGAAAATGACAGTTAGTATTTGTGGATAAAGAACAAACAAACAACCAAGGATTATGAACAAGAACCACGGACTCAGACTTAAACCCACATTACAGTCATCTCTAGTCCAAGCAGTAGAGGAATATTCCTCGCAGCTAATACTTCAACAACTGTAAGTCACATCTTTGTACACAGTAAATATGAATCCACAGTTTTGTAACAATAATCAAAGCAAAATTTATCCTAAAAGTTATAGAAATTATTGCTTGCTAGTTATACTAGTTGCATTCAGTTCATCTAGCATACTTCCACAGGCCTCCTTACTAACCTCTTGAGTCTTCCAGTTTCCAAGTCTCCAGTCTTACATAAGCTTCACTTTTTCCACTTTTCCCAATTTAGAATGACTGTTTGACCCAATCTGACCATCTTCTGACCTACTTTGTGCCTTTCCTTTCAGTCTGAGAATGTTGTTGAGAATGTAAGATTTTACAGCAGCCTTCCAGACACTGTGAGGAG